CCACGATGAGATAAAGGTTGGGAAGCTCCCGTATGTTACTTTCATCAGGCTGTGCTGTGACTTGTAGCCAAAAGCATTTAAACTAATACAAACCATCCCCACCTCCACCCCAAGCCAATTCCACTGCCGGGGGCCGTGTTTGCAGCCACCAGTGGGCTGTTCTCGCCCTGATCCAGGCCCTGCTATCCACGGGGGCCTGCATGGCTGATGGCACCATCCACCACTACTTGTCCCTGCTTCCTCATATACCAGACGACCATTTCACACTTCTCTTTCTACCTCTCCCTCCACCTCCTCCTCTCAGAGTCCATGGCTTTGCCTCATACTTGAAAGGAGGAAATAAAGGGAACCGACCGGCACCTGTTTTCCCACCACCAGACCTGCTGTTGGGACAGTTCTCCTCAGGCCACTGAAGGCTTCTGCTCCTGACTCTCCTGCCTGGGTGTTTCCATGGCCAACAGCCTCAGAAGAAGACAGCACGACTCCCTCGGGGGCAAAGGGCAGATATGCCTGCAGCCCACTATGAAAGATTTGGGTTCTGCCCGTTTGGGGTCGCTCAGCTGAGACTCTTGCCGTGGCCCGTGGGACAGGGATTGAGGAAACCCTTGGCTGCCTGCTGTGCTGCGAGCGACGAGTTCTCCGCGTCTCCTGCCGGTGCCTGTGAGGCTGTGGCAGCTTGCTTGTCAGGTGTGGCCAGTAAGCTCCCAGTTCTGGCTACCCATCACCTCCCTGCCTCTGACCTGTGCTATCAAACCCCAGTCCCTTGAGCCCCCCCACCCCTTTCTCTCCTGGGTTTGCCCTCCTCCCCAGCCACAAGCATCACATCTCGCCCATCTTCCCAACCTGCATATAGACAGGCTGCACTTCCACAACTTCCTCCAATATCGCTCTTTTTTAAAAAGTATTTTAAATGTAAATTTATTTATTTATTTGTTTGTTTATTTATTTTTGGCTGCATTGTGTCTTCGTTGCTGCACATGGGCTTTCTCTAGTTGTGGTGAGCAGGGGCTACTCTTCGTTGCAGTGCGTGGGCTTCTCATTGCGGTGGCTTCTCTTTTTACAGAGCATGGGCTCTAGGCGCGTGGGCTTCAGTAGTTGTGGCACACGGGCTCAGTAGTTGTGGCTCTCAGGCTCTAGAGCGCAGGCTCAGTAGCTGTGGTGCATGGGCTTAGTTGCTCCACAGCATGTGGGATCTTCCCAGACCAGGGCTCGAACCTGTGTCCCCTATGTTGGCAGGTGGATTCTTGACCACTGCATCACCAAGGAAGTCCCCAGTCCCTATTTTAACTGCTGCTTTTCAGAGCAAGACATCTTTTTTTTTTTTTTTTGCGGTACACAGGCCTCTCACTGTTGTGGCCTCTCCCGTTGCAGAGCACAGGCTCTGGACGCGCAGGCTCAGTGGCCATGGCTCACAGGCCCAGCCGCTCTGCGGCATGTGGGATCTTCCCAGACCGGGGCACGAACCCGTGTCCTCTGCATTGGCAGGCGGACTCTCAACCACTGCGCCACCAGGGAAGTCCCAAGAAATCTTGACTAAGCTGTCCACCCGTTCTTCTCCAGCCCCTTTAACTGGGAAGGCTGGATGACAAGTCCACCACTCCACTGAGACAGCCAGAAGGCCATAGTGACGCAGAGCACTTTTCTGCCCTGACCTTCCCTGACCTCTTTGCAGCATTCCACCCAGTTGACCACTCCCTCCCTCTAAAATCTTTTCATTATAAAAGATACCAAACTACATCAAGCACATATAACATACGTGTATCGTTTAAAGAATTGTTAAAAAATAAAACAAAGAATAAAACAGAAACCTGTATACTCAGCTTGAGAAACAGCATCACCACTGCCTGTGTTTGTCAATAAAGTTTTATTGGTGCACAGCCACACCGATCACTTACACATTGTCTGCGGCTGCTTTTGAGCTGCAGGCAGAGATGAGTAGTTGCAAGAGAGACCATTGGGCCACAAAGCCGAAAATACTCACTATTTGGCCCGACACCTACTCTGGAATTTTTTTTTAGTGAGGGACGGGTGGGGCACAGTTGCTCAGTTTTTTTGCTAAAGCAAAGCAGAGCTGGAGGAAAGTGCATTTATCAGGAAATAAGATGGACGTGTGGCCTGAAGAAAGCATCATTGAGTCAGCATTTCTCCCCTACTCTTCCTGTAAATCATCCCCCAAAAGAGAAAATTTTCATGAAAACTAGAGATAAAATTCCAGATGGGAAAAATGGTGGTTCTGCCAAAGGCGGTAGAAATGAGCAGGGGTGTGTGGAAGGACAGGCACGGTGGGAGGCCTCAGGAGGAGCCAGGAGGTGGGAGCACAACCCCCTGGATGCAGCGTGCCTGGGCAGGAGGGGAGAGAAGCTGGGCTTTGTGAAAATGGGCAGAGATAAGTCAAGGCCGGACTTAGTTAAAAACCACCAACAAAACTGCTAGACTGGACAATGGCCCTGGCCTCATTTCCCTCATAAGTTTCCTACAAATACCTGGTCAAGGAAAAATCACCTCTTTTAAAGATGAGGGGGAACAAAGGAACAAAAGTGCTACGAGAAAAAAGAAGGAAGGAAACCAGCAAAACGACAATGAACATTCACCAAAAACTTCCGATAGAGCTGATGAAAAATACAGCAAAACGTTCCTGAATTTAAAATGTACTGAAGCAGTAGCTTCTCAGATTAATGAGCTCAAGCGGGAGCTGTGAGGAGAACAGACCAGTCTGCATCTGAGGAGACTACTCGAGGCATCACAGGGGCGATGCTGCCGCCAGAGGGGACAGAATGTGGACCACTGGGAGGATGTGGCTCCTTCCAGGGGCAGAACCCAGGTTTAACAAATCCTGAGAAAAGCCACAACAGAGTTTTGGGGCTGGGTCTAAAGACTGTATGGGAAAAAAAAAAATAAACAAATGAGAATTACCAGGAAAACTCTGAGAAAGAAGCATAACTGGAGATCCTAAGTCAGTAGACATTACAAGGGACCAGGAAGCAGTAACAATTCAAACAGCACTGCACGTGGACAGACCAAGACCAATAAATCAAGGCAGAGGTCCCCAACTCCCGGGCCACTGACTGGTACTGATCCGTGACCTGTTGGGAACCAGGCGGCACAGCAGGAGGTGAGCGGCGGGCGAGCCAGCAAAGCTTCATCTGCCGCTCCCCCTCGCTCACATTACCGCCTGGGCCATCTGCACCCCTGTCTGTGGAAAGGCTGGGGACTGCCGAACCAAGGGACAGAACAAGAGCTCCAGACCCAGACTCAAGTACACACAGAACATCTAACATGATAGTAAAAGCGGGATTTCAAACAAGTGGGGAAATGTGAGTTATTCAATAACGGGTATGGGGAGTGGACTTCCCTGGTGGTCCAGCGGTTGAGAATACGTCACAGGATGCAGGGGACGCTGGTTCCATCCCTGGTTGGGGAACTAAGATCCCACATATTGCGGGGCAACTAAGCCCAGGCGCTGCAACTACTGAGCCCACGTGCTCTGGAGCCCGTGTGCCACAACTAGACAGAAGCCCACGCACCTCAACAAAGAGCCCGTGTGCTGCAGCAAAGGATTCTGCATGCCACAACTAAGACCTGACCCAGCCAATAAATAAATAAATATTTAAAAAAAAACTGGTGTGGGGACATTTGGATTGCCACCTGGGGTTAAGAAAAGTTTGGTTCCTATTTCATAACCTACACAGTGATAAATTCCAAATGGATCCTGGATTTAATTATGAAAAAAGGAAACCATAACTGTATTAGAAGACATCATGGCAGAATAATCTTCAATCTTGGAGTGGAAAAAACCCAAGTAAGGCACAAAACCCAGAAAGGATTAAAAACAAGAACATTAATTAAATTACATAAAAATAAAAAAATACGTGCATGACAAAAACTACCATAGGCAAAGTCAAAAAACAAATGAGAAACTGTGGGAAAATATTTGCAATTCATATCTCAGAAAAGGTCTGATTTCCATTATATATAATAAGCTCATACAAATCAATAAGAAAAAGATTATAAACCCAGTATACAAATGGGCAGAGAACTGAAGAAAAGGAAAAGGAAATGACTCAAACATGTGAAAAGATGCACAACCTCCTAACAGGAGAAATATGAATTAAAATGACACCTAACAGACTGGCAAAGATTATAGTTCGATGACACTGCTGGAGAGGGTCTGGGGAAAGATGCCCTCTCAGCCTTTGCTGGGTGGGTGTGAACTGGTACCACCTGATGGAGCCCAACTAACACCTTCTCAAACTGGACATGCACATACCTTTGGACAAAACAATACACCCTCCGGGAATTTACATTTACGCTTTTATGCATGCGCTACAGCATGTACAAGGTAATTCACTGTAACGTTATTGGTGACGGCAAAAGATTGGAAATAATCGAAAATGCCCATTGGCACATTGGGCACAGCAGGAAGCATTCATGCATTGAGGCTGAGAGCCGAGAATGAGGGCGCTTGCTGTGAGCTGATCCGGAAGGGGATCCAAGTTCATTCCCCCAACCCCGGTCTTCAAACAGCCTCCCCTCCGCCCACCCTGCTTACTACATCTTGGTCTCACGCAGTTCCCCCAAAGGTGGCCCTTCAAATGAACTTTCCTGAGAACCTCACAGTGAGCGAGTTTCCCGGGGGCAGAGGACACGCACTTCGTGGGCTGCCCTGGCCTTGTGAGGCTGAGCAGAACACAGAACACCCGCCTGCCCGAGTCACAGACTGACCACAGTGCCCCCACCCTCGCGACCTGTGGGCTCTACTCTGGGTAGACATGGTGACATGGTCAGCTGGACGCGGGGCTGGGAGACACCCTCTGTCCCTGCGGGACGGTCAGGCACCAAATCAGAGGACAGGACTGCAGAATTTACAGATTCCCTAACCACAGCAGGAAGAACGCCGTGCTCACTCTGTGTGTCAGCCTGCGAGTGGCCACCACAGCTGTCCTCATGGCCAGCACCCAGACCAATGGGGCAACAGCCTGGGGATGTACGTCTTCACCTACCTGGAGGCGAGTCGTCCTGGGAGGTGAGGCCAGAAGGGCTGGATCCCAGGTCCAGTAACTTCCATGTGTCCTGGAGGGAACTGCTGGCAAGTGATGAGGACCTTTGGGTGTGGTGGCCATTTTCCTCCTGGAATTCTTGAGCCAGGCGTGGCTTTGGGGACTGGTTTTCTTTCTGAGGAGCTGATCTGCAAGTCACTGTGGAGATTCTGTGTTGCCTCTGTGAAAGAGAGAAAAGAGAATTATCCTTGAAAGCCACCCTCTCTCCCTGCCCTCCTGGGGTGATAAGACAGTGGACGTGGCCCGAGGAGGGGCTCTGGACATTTAAACATGAAACATGGGGGATTCCCTGGCGAACCAGTGGTTAGGACTCTGTGCGTTCACTGCCGAGGGCCCGGGTTCAATCGGGTTCAATCCCTGGTCGGGGAACTAAGATTCCACAAGCTGCGCGGTGCAGCTAAAAAAAAAAACATGAAACACAATCCCGAGGGAGGTGAGGGAGGTGGGATTGGGGACCAGGGCCAATGCCCTGAGGTGAAGTCCTGTCACTCTGGGCAACGGCCACCCTCTCTGACACGAAGCACTCCAGTTCCAGGTGCTTCCTGGGTCGGGATGTGGCATGAAGACCTGGCCCTGGTGGATCCTGCGTACCAGCCCTGGCCCCGCTGTGCAGCCTGGCTCAGCATCCCTTCTGCAGACTGTCTGTGCCGAGCGGGCTTGGCTCTCTCCTGAGCGTTCAGAGAAACATTCTTTCTTGGCATTCTTAGAGTCCTGTCGTGGAAATTTAAATAAAAGAAATTCAGTGTTCGTGGGTCATTGATGGGGTACCTTACTGAGTTTTCCCTCAAGATTAGGGAGAAACACTCTCCCCAAATTTCTGATATGAGGGACTTAACTCGGCTCTGTGACAAGCCAAAGTGGGGAAGCTGCTTGGGTTCACCGGCCAGGACGAATTTAACAGGCCTCATCATGGCAATCGAAGTACCTCCCCGCCCTCGAGGGCAACCAAGCACCGGAAAGTCACACAACCTTCCTGTGGTGCCCAGGGAGGGCACCCTGGGCCCTGCCAGGCACACAAGGGGCCCTGCAGCTCTTGTTTGTGACACATCTTCAGTGCACAGCTGGCCCCCTGCAGCCTAAACACTAACATCTTCCCTCTGAGGGGAAGCCTGTGGAAAAGCAGTCAGGAGGGGTCACCGAGGAGAACCGAAGCCCGGGACTGTGCAGAGCCCTGCACGGAGGGCCACCTGCTGCTGCCGCTTCTCCTGCTCAAGTTTAATTAAGTTTTGGATTTTCAGCCAAGTAACGCACTCATACATTTTCGTTTTAACTTTCAGTTAAACTTTCAGATCCCACAAGCCACAAACAAACAAACAAACAAACAAACTTATCTAAACTGATGGAGAGTCTGTATTAGGTCAAATTATATGAAATTGCTGGTATCTGACCACTTTTGACCCATAAAATGGCAATTTTGTATGGTTCAACATAATACTAAAGCCTACAGCAAACATACTACCTGAAGATAAAAAATGGGAAAAGCATTCTCTGTAAACCAGGACAAATGTGTGGGTGTCAGCCACCCAGTTTTTCTCCACGCTGTGTGGGGTCCTGCCCAGGACAGTGGGGTGAGAAAAGATGAATGGTGTGAGGCCAGAAAAGGAAGCAGCCCGGTCCTTACCCCAGATGCTACGTCCATCAACACACAAAAGCAAAGAGAAATACTGACACATGTGTTGGCATCAATCAGTTCAGAAGAGTTAATAGCTACAAAATCATTTTACAAAAGTCAACTCTGTTCCAAATGACCAGCAACAGTAGGAAAGTGTAAGTTTAAAGGGATGCTGAAGAGAAACAGACTGGTACAGCTATTAGACAATTATTCATCAATAAAAAGATGAGCTCTCAAGCCAGGAAGAGACACGGAGGAACCTTACACGCATGTTGCTAAGGGAAGGACGCCCATCTGAGAAGGCTACTTGTTGTTTGATTCCAACTCTGTGACATCCTGGAAAAGGCAAAACCATGAACACAGGAACAAGATCAGTGGTTGCCAGGGGTTACGGGTGATGAATAGTGGAGCACAGAGGAGTTTTAGGGCCATGAAACTACTCTGTGTGATGCTATAATAATGAGCATGTGCCATTATACACTAGTCCAAACCCGTAGAAAGTGTGCCAAGAGCGACCCCTGATGTAAACTGTGGACTGTGCTGATGACGTGTCAGGGCAGGCTCATTGATTCTAACAAATTAACCGCTTTGTTGGGGGTTGCTGATGACACGGGAGGCTGTGCGCTTGTCGGGGCAGGAGGTACACGGGAACTCTCTATACTTTCTGCTCAATTTTGCTGTGAATCTGAAACTGCTCTGAAAAACGAAGCCTATTTATTAAAAAATTTTTGATAGCAACAAAAACAGGTGACTATATTTTGTTGACCTCTGAAATACCTATATGTGACACACTATAAAGGATCTTCATGCATTGTCTGAAGGTATAGGCCAGTATAACAACTTGACAGTGTCATTCAACAGTATCTAAGGAAGATAAAATGTACACAGCCTAGAACACAGCAATTCTGATCCTAGGTCCATGCCCGAGAAACTTCTGCACATGAGGACATCTGTAACAATGTTCACACCAAAGAAATGGTAACTGACCTAAATGCCCATCAATAGAAGAATGGATAAGTAAATGCTCGTGTATTCACAAAATAGAAAGAAAATACACCAACTTGTGTCTAGACCTGGGGTCGGCAAAGCACAACTTGTAGACCAAATCCTGCCCACCACATTTTTTGGTACAGCCTATGAGCTAAAAATAGTTTTTACATTTTTAAATAGTTGAAAAAAATCAAAAAAGAAGAAAAATATTTCATGACATGAAAATTATGAAATTAAAGTTACAAGGTCATTAACTTTTACTGGAGCACATCCATGCCCGCCTGTTTACATATCTCCTGTGCTGGCATTCAGGACAAACGCAGAGTTGAGAAGTTGCAACAGAGACTCTGGCCCTTACAGGCCGGAATATTCACTATTTGGTCCTTTACAGAAAAGGTTTACCAATTCCTGAACTAAAGCTACATGTACCAACATATACACAGTTGACCCTTGAACAACATGTGTTTGAACTGGGCAGGTCCCCTCATATGCAGAGTTTTTTCAATAAATATGCAGTACAGGACTACATGATCCATAGCTGGCTGAATCCACGGATGCAGAACCACCGATACACAGGGACGACTGTAAAGTTAAACGTGGATTTTCGACCACTGGTGGGGGGTCCGTGCCCCTAACCCCCATGATGTTCAAGGGCCAACGGTGTACATCAGAAACACAGTGCTGAATGAGAGCATGTGTACAGAACGATGTACACACAGCTCGGTGTGATTTACACAGATTCTTTAAATATCTGCTGAGAGAGAGAAACACCAGGCTCGGGAAAGTCTGAAGGGACCATGGATATTGGGGGCAGAACACTCAAAGGGGTTTTAACTTACAACATTTTGCTTATTAAGTTGGATGGTGTACACACAGGTTTCATTATATTAGTCTTTTTATCTTAGAAGTCTAAAAATACTTAAAATAAAAATAAATACATAAATAACAATATCCACCCAACAGAGAATAAATGGAAAGAACAACCAAGAAAATTCTGTAAAGGAACAGAGACAAGGGCAAGCTGTTATATGTATTTGTAACTTATTAAAACATTACGAAGCTACGGGATTCAGAGCCGGAGAGCACCTGCTCAGGAGCAGACAATTCACTGGAACTGTACAGAAAGTAAATGCAGAACCCGAACCTAACAATGCTGCAGCATCAGGCCCATCACCTACCAAGCACTGGCCTAACTTCTCAAAAATGCCAATGTTGTGAAAGACAAAGAAGGGCTGAGAAGTCGTCCAGGCTGAAGGAGACATGTGCACATACACGCGTGGGCTGCATGCCACACAGGTCCTGGACGGCCTGCTTGGTGGAGGAGGATGGCTGAAAAGAGGTGACTGGCAAAATCTGAACACAGAACATGTATTAAATTCTAGGACTGCATTAATGTTATGTTTCCTGATTTTGATAATTTATATTTTACTGCAGCTATATGTCAGGGAGTGTCCTTGTATTCTGACATCCAGGGGCTCGATGTCTGCAACTTAGATCTACCTATTTCTCTAAAATGTGGAGGAAGCAGAGGGAGGGAAGAGAAAGAATGATAAAGCAAATGTAGCAAAAAGTTAACAATTGGTTAATCTAAGTGAAGGGTATATGTGCTATTCTTGCAACTTTGTGTAAATGTGAAGTTATTTCAAAATAAAAAATTAAACACAAACATAAGCAAGAGTATAGATTTTCAGTACATGATAAAAATGTCAATTCAAAATCAGTGAGAAAAAGGAGGATAATTACTTACAGGGTACTATGACAATTAGTAAAATAGAACAACTAGAGAAACAGGTGAATATTTACCTAAACTCAAAATATAGAAAGAAACCTCTAAGCCAGAAAACAGTGAAATAAACCTTTAAAGTAGACTGACAGGGTTCATTAGATGAAAAAAAAGTTATCTGTGGATTTTTTAAAAAAAGAAAAATTAAAAGGCAAATGACAAGTTTGAGAAACATGTGTAACAGAGAAGGAACAATTTCCTTAACACATAAAGAACCCCTACAAACTAACAAGAAAAATACAAACACACAAGTAGAAAAATTAGCTAAAAACTTGCATAAATAACCCACAAAAGAAGAAATATAAATGGCTGATAAATAGATTAAAAAATTTAAAATTGCTCCAAATATAAGACATTTTTAAAAGATGCATTTTTTAAACTATTATGTTGGTAAAGATTTAGAAAATAATACCTAGGTAGGTAAAGCTATATAATAAAACATATATATATATATTATACTTTGTAATTTTGAAAAATAGCAGGAAACACACTGATATGTTACTGCCAACTATGTTGAAATGCTAAAAGTTGGAAACTTTTTAAATTGTGTTTACTGTATTTTGAAGTTTCTGTTATGAAATGAAGTATTTAAGCAATCAGTAAAAAGTTATTAGAAATAAGTTTCTTACGTAAAGGAGTGTTACCTGAGTTGTGAGACGGGGTTGCAACGGTCCCAAGCGTGCATCAGGTGCCTCACCTGAACCCTGGGCCTCAGGGGTAGGAAGGGGGTGATGAGGCAGCTTCCCTATAAACGAGATGAGGGAAATGGTTTGTCCTCTGTGTGCACGTCACTTGGGTTTCTCTCGTGGTGAATTCAAATACTCAAGAAGAACAGTAAGTACCTCTTCAAAACCGAAGTCACTTCTCTTTCAAGAGAACTTGGGGGGTGGACACCTGTGACTTATACAACACACACCAGCATTTCAGCAGACTTCAGAACACACAGAAGCCTTCCACAGCAGCACATACCCCTTATGCAGCTTCTCAAAGTGGCAGTCATGAGCCATCCATTAAGAGACCCAAAGACATACCCTCTCCGCAGCAGAGAAAAATAAGAAGCAAAAGTTTAAGTATATACACTTGAGGATTATTCTTGTAATCAATGCTTCAGCAGTCTTCTTTGAAAATAGGCGTAAACATCTTAGATTAACTTTATCTAAAACTTTTTTTTGCCGGGGGTGGGGGGTGGGGGACTAACTTTGTTTTGCATGACACAGAAACAACCAACTGTAACTTCTCAGTTGCACTATTCTTGTTATGAACTCTCATCAGATCTTCCACTTTTGAAAATTATTAGTAAGTTAACCATGGCCATGTTAAGTCTTTGACATCTCCATGGACAAAAAAAATGTTGTCTGCCATTTCAATAAACAAAGAATGTTGCCTGCCACCAAGCTATCAGCCTCTGCAGCCACCCCAACTGTGCACCCTGAGGGGATTTGGGATGGAGAAAAACAGGACACTGTCCCTACATAGTTAAGATGCATATCAAAGGAATGATTTCAATGGGCCCAAGGTCTTGCATCTTCCCATAGGTAGAAAGGCACTAAAATCCTCGAGATGTCTGCTTTTTGTGATTAGCAGTAATCGTTTGATGTCTGACTACATATATATTGTTTCAGCAAAAACTCCTACATATTCTTTCTCCTCCCTGACCTCTTTGGAACAGTCTCTCAGATCCATCTGACAGGCTACCTTCCCAGACTACAGTCCTCAGTAATGTTCTTGAATAAAACATAATTCTCAACTTTTAGGTTGTGCATTTTTTCTTCAGTGAACATCTACAAAGAGTTTGTTTACTTTAATGGAAAAAAAATGAAAGAAAGAAAGAAGAAAAAGGAGAGAAAGCTTTACAGTCAGGTCAGCACAGGGGGAAAAGACTGTGCTTACAGGCATTGCTTAGACCACCGTGAGGTCATCCCAGTGGACTGACTCAGGATTTCCAGAACCCTAGTCAAGAAGCAGATGGACCATTGAGACCTCAGAACCAAGACTGAGAGGAACAAGGATTAACCACCTAGGACTGAAGGAACCAATGAGGGACGAGGCAGCTGTTGTTGGGAACACTATAGATGTGATTTTAATGTTCTCCTTTCTAGATATGCAAGGAACTCTTTCTTTTTCCCCTTAAGCTGTCTGTAGTCCACATACATTTAGTGGTCTCTGGTTTTGTAAACTGAAATGAAACATTTCTAAGTGGTATCTTGTTCTCCCTGCCCGAGTCCTCCAGAACTCAGAAACTCCTGTTGACTATTCTTACTTGCCTGACAATATAGTAATTTGCATAGGCTCAAAGAGAATCTGTCCTTGTTTTTACCAGGATTTGACTGGAAATGTGGATTATGCAGCCAAGGCCCTGCCTGGGCAGCCAGAGTTGAGAATGATACTCATTTAATTATCAGGACCCATTGCCTGTAAGGATCTGTGGTTGACTTCATGGAGCAATGCTCACAAAGCCCTCCCTCCCAGGATAACTGGCAGGTGCCAGGCTCACAGAGGGTTAAGGAAGGTCATCTCCTGGCAGGTCCAGGAACCTCAGAATATTTTGGAAACCTCAAGAAAAAAGGAATTTTCTCAAAATCACCAAGCAGGTGAAACATGGAGAGTTCTTGGCTTCCTGGACTCAGGACAACAAACAAGCTTTCAACAGTCCAATCTGAAATCGTGATGGAAAGTTCCAGCAAAGCAAACTCAAGAAGTCTAACACCGTGAATTAACACTCCTGCTGCGCCTATGGAAACGATCAGGCCAAATGATACCAGACTTGTTTTGTGATCAAGAATAGTCTTTGAGATTATTTTTCTTTTTCTTTTTTCTTTTGGCCACGCTGTGCGACTTGTGGGATCTTAGTTCCCCAACCAGGAATTGAACATAAGCCCTCAGCAGTGAAAGCGCAGAGTCCTAACCATTGGACCGCCAGGGAATTCCCCGAGATTATTTTTTTATCAAAAGCTGAGAAACTGTAGGGAGGGACTTCTCTGGTGGCACAGTGGTTAAGAATCCGCCTGCCAAAACGGGACACGGGTTCGAGCCCTGGGCTGGGAAGATCCCACATGCCGCGGAGCACCTAAGCCTGAATGCCACAACTCCTGAGCCTGCGCTCCAGAGCCCACAAGCCACAACTACTGAGCCCGCATGCCACAACTACTGAAGCCTGTGCACCTAGAGCCCGTGCTCTGTATCAAGAGAAGCCACCGCAGTGAGAAGCCTGTGCACTGCAACGAAGAGTAGCCCCTGCTCGCCGCAACTAGAGAAAGACCACACGCAGCAACGAAGACCCAATGCAGCCAAAAGTAAATAAATTAATTTTTTTAAAAAGAAACTGCAGGGAAAAAACTGTGTTCCAGTGGAAACTGCATAGCCTACTGCGCACCCTGAGGAGCTATCAGGTTCTTGCCTCTCATTGTGCCTGAACTACTTTACAACTCTGGAAGTTGACAGACATGCAAACTACACCTTGTCCCTTGGAGTTTTCATGGGCTCCCCCTCCCCCCTTTAGAGAAACCAGTTCTGCCCCATTTGCAATTCAATTCCTTTACTCCAAATAAATTTGTGCTCTTTTGATTTTTCCTTGGAATTGCTTATAACATGTGACTGATTTCCTCACTGTTTAGTAAACAGAAGAGAATTCTAAACACGGGATCTTTTTTTTTTTTTTCGGGATCATTTTCATATCTGTTTGAGAGCCATATTTTACTTCTTTCTGAAAATTACTTTTTAAAACCTGGTTAAAGAAATATTATTAAATGTTATTAAACATCAGAAAGGACACTGAATAATATGAACCATGATGAGCTATTAACTGTCATGAACACTTCTGCTCTAAGTAACAGGGCATGAAAATTGATACAACACAATGGTGAGGAGGAGAAATGGACAGAAATACAAGAGCAGTGCAAGATTTTAACACAAAGATCATGGTTCTTGGCTTTTCAAGTCGACGAGTATAAAGAAGTTTAGACAGAATGTTAATAATTGTATTTAAGCTGAGGTGTCCCAGCACTGGAGCCTACAGGCTGTTGGGTGGGGCTGGGTCTTCGTGCCAGGGTGGTGGTCTCCAGGAGAGCTCACGCCAGTGGGTGTTCCCTGGTACCTCCGCCACCAGTGTCCTTGTCCCCACAGTGAGCTGCAGCTGCCTCCCACCTCCTCGGAGACCCCCCAAGACCAGCAGGATAGTCTTCGGTATTTTGCTCATTTGTTCATCCATGTGAACATAAAATCCAGTTTGTCCAGCTCCTAGAAAAAAATATGCTGGGATTTTGATCAGTTTGAGAATTGACGTCCTCAAAAAAGTAAACTCTCTGTATCAGTGGACATACTATATCTCTGTTTATCTAGGTCTTCTTTAGCATCTTTAATAAAACTGTAATTTTTTTCCAATAAGAAAAAAATATATTTAATAAGGCTGCTTAATAGAACAGAATCAAAAGTAGACTTCAACTCATGCTTAAAAATAACTGAAGGAATTCTTTTTTAAATAAATGTATTTATTTATTTTTGGCTGAGTTGGGTCCTCGTCGCTGCACGCGGGCTTTCCCTAGTTGCGGCAAGTGGTGGCTACTCTTTGTTGTGGTGAGCAGGCTTCTCATTGCGGTGGCTTCTCTTGTTGAGGAGCACGGGCTCTAGGTGAAGAGGCTTCAGTAGTTGTGGCTCGTGGGCTTAGTTGCTCTGCGGCATGTGGGATCTTCCTGGACCAGGGCTCGAACCCACGTCCCCTGCATTGGCAGTTGGATCCTTATAAACACTGCACCACCAGGGAAGCCCACTAAAGGAATTTTGAAACTCTCTCTTGTGAAAATTAACCAAGGGAATCTCACTAAAATGGAGTGGGAGACCGGAAGGGGAGCCCTTATGCATGTCCCACTCACATCTATACAGATCCTAACAGAAGAGACTACCTTGCATCTCCACATGGAAGTGACACTGCTTTACTGCTGCCTGTGGGAGGAAGATATTCTCCTTGCCTGGCAGCAGCCCAACCAATGAGAGATCATTACAGCTCAGCCAATGAAAAACCACTACACTTTGAACCCCCAGTTTCCTCCAATGGACTGTTTATAACGGCTCCCCACAATGTCCCCTTCTCCTCTATAAAAGAGTTTCCTCTCTTTTGCTTTACCCGACTTGCATGTGGTTCACCATAGTTGTATGTTCTGAACTGCAATTCTTTGCTGCTCCTTAATAAACTCGTTTTGCTGATAAAAACAACTGTTTTAGGTTAACATTACATGGAGGTCCAACCGAGATCCAGAGCAGACCCCTGACAACCCCAAGGCTGGTGAGCAAACAGGTGTGGTACCAACAGAGCCCACTGAGCTCACTGTTTTTCTAGTCACCCCTGGAGTTTGAGGGTAAGCTTTTCTCCTGGATCTGAGCTCCACTCTTTCTGCATTTGGAAGCTCTCTAGGCTTTATCTGGGATCTGTTCAAAGGCTTCATCCTTTTTTGTTAAGGCCTTGTTTTGTCCGTGAGTACTCACTTGGCACTTCAGCCGGACTTGAAATCAGGCTGTCCCTATTGGAACTGTGCTGGCATTTGGTCCAATTCCTTTTGGAACTGGGCTGTTCCTATTTGGAACTGTGCCATTCAGCCTCTGGCCTGATTCCGTTGGGATCAGGCTGTCCCTACTGGAACTGTGATGCTATTTGGCCTGCAGGCTGTTTAAGAATTACCTCTTTGCTTTAGAGAAAAAAAAAAAACTCTCGAAAATGGGATCCCAGTTATCTAAATGTCTTGAGGGCATCCC